TATATGGCATTTAATATATTTAAGTACCTATTAGTGTTGTAAAGGAAAATTAGTAGAAAGAGACTGTTTTAGGTGGGGTGGTCAGGAAAGAACTCTGAGGAGGTGATGTTGTAATAGAGACTCGAATTATATTATTATAAATATTACATACCTCTGCTGAGCTTTCTCTTGGGGTTTTTTTGCTTTTCTTGGTTTTTGTTTTTGGCCTCTGTTCAGTTATGTACTTCAGAAACCAAGCTTTTTTGATTAGTATCCAAACACATAGGGAAATATATTCAAGTCTCTGAATTTTAAATGCTTTCCTGGGTATTTCTTCAGTTGCCCTCATTCAAAATTCAGTAAAGGTATGGATGGCCCCAAACTAGGTGGCAAATGTCATTTGTCATCTTGAATGATGGGACTGAAGGACAAGATTAAGAGGCTCTAGTTGAACTTAAATGTTGTAGACTTATAATTTGATGTATTATGATAGTTGTTGTTGAACTTAAAGTAGTTTTCAAATACTTCAAACTGTGTTGTGTTTTTCAGCTTTTATTTGACTAGTATCTATGACCATTCAATATTTGAAGCGTTTAGTAAGGTGGTACAGAAACTCATTCCACAACTGCCGACCTTGGAAAACCTATTAAATATCTTTATATCAGTAAGTGAGCTATTTAATTCATTATTGTTTCTAATTCCATTTTCATTGATTGTGATGTCAAGTTCTCCAAAAATGCCCAGAATTATTACTTAGAAAAGTTCTTTACTTAGTGCTCACCTTGTTTGTTTTTAAATCAGTAATTAAAAGTTTTCCATGCTTTCTTAAATTAGAAAACATCTATGTAAGAACATGTGTTTACTCATGAAGAGTTGTTGTTAGGTGCTTTTAAGTCGAGTATGACTCCTAGCGAACAGCAGATCTGAACCCTGTCTTATTCTGTACCGTCCATGAATAACTGGATTTTGGGAATTTGACTCAGTCTAATCTCAGCCTTATTTGAGGTTATACTGAAAGATTGATCTTTTCCTTTTTTTTGGAGAAATATAATCTTGTATCATGTTTTACGTTTTTGTTTTGATGATTCAGCTTAATATAAAAGGATATCCCTCCCGCAAGTTTAACATTTGGCCATTATGTTTAAAAAACTTGCTTTGAAAAAGGACTCCTTGTATGGCTATACCAAAGTAGATTTCTTTTGGGTTATGCTAGATGCTGACATCAAACTATATAGCTCTTATGTTTTGCTGACTGTCACATAAAGCCTTTCTAGTAGCAAGATCATTCAAATTAATATGATTATTTTAAAAGGGTTTTTTAAAATTTAATTTTAAAACCATGGCTTGAGTTTTAGAGAAAAATACTTTATTCCTACGTTAGAAAAAAATTCATTTAAATAAAAAGAATGACCTGACATTTATACATAATATATATATATATATATATATATAGACAAGCAAAGGTAAACAGTGGTGAATGGAATGGAGAAAGGGAAGTAAATGCTGATCAAAATAGTGTACTGATTAACAGTAGGGTTGCACAGCTGATGATTGACATTACTGTCAATAAGTAATTCACCTTTAAAATATGGAGTTGGCAAATGTGTGTTAGATAAAATTGCCACAGTGCTTATGTACAACCAAAAACAAGGGATCTGGTTTCTTGGTTTGGAGTTTTAGGGTACATGGGACATCCCAGTTAATTGGCCTGATAACATGTTTAGTGCTTATATTCTACACCTGAGATTATTGCACAGTGCCTGGGGTCTTAAAAGCTTTCAAGCGACCATCTGAGGTATAACAGTTGGTCTGTGTTCACCAGAAGCAACAGAGAAAGAAGGACGTAAACTAAACCAAACTCACTGCTACTGAGTCTGGCCTGCCTCTTAGCAACTCTCCACTGGATTTCTGAGGAGACTGTCCTTTGTTCTTCAGAGAAATTGGTGGATGAGAACTGCTGACCTTTCTGTTAGCAGCACAACATGTAACTGACTATGCCACCAGTGTATAATAGAGTAAGAAATAGAAGGAAGATACAGAATGTGTGTCAGTTGCCTCCATACTCCCTCTTTTGTCATGAGGACAAAAGAGCTGAATGGTACCTGGCTACTGCTACTGAACATTTTAATCCAAGATTCTGTAAAAAAAAAAATTGTGATCAAAAGGGGAAAAATACAGCGCAGAATTTCAAATTTATATGGTCTCTAGACGTCCTGGAGCCATGAAAATGGAATGAACCCCTGAAACTCTTGTTCTGAGACAAACCTTAAACCAAAAGTGTCCCCTAAACTCTTATGAAAACCAAGTAATAATTTATCTTAATTAGTAAAAATATTACCTTGGTCATTAAGCTCTTTTAAGAACTATGTATGAGATTAAATTGACAACTGTAACTTGAAAGATAAGACTCTCAGCGGATGGTGAATTCATGTTAATGGGGTAAGAACAGTTCAGGAAAGGAAAGTTGCACAAACCAAAAGATGTAATCCATGCCACTAAATGGTACATGTAGCAACTGTTGAATTGGTGTGTGCTTTGTTATGTATGTTATTTACAACAATAAATAAAATTTTAAAAAAGTGGTATCATAGATGTCAGTAAATCAGAACAAAGAAATAATTCCACTTTCATTCTTTGGATAACAAGTGTCTCAACTATTTAATATTTGATACTAGATTGAATAATGCCCAAGGCCACTTTTAATTATACAGTGATTCAGGATCTTTGAGAAGTTGCAAATTATGATTCTTAAAAGAACTGAACACTTCACCAATTTTGTTTTTCCAAGAATTCAGGTATTGAAAAAGCTTTTCTCTTCGATGTTGTCAGCAAAATCTACATTGCAACAGACAGTTCCCCTGTGGATATGCAATCTTATGAACTTTGCTGTGACATGATTGATGTTGTAATTGATGTATCTTGTATATATGGGTAAGTTGTATATGTATTTCTGCAAGATATCAGACAAGTGGAAACACTAAGCTGAATTTATCAAGGGCAAATACTATGGAAAGTGGAATTATTCTTACGTAATGCTTCTCTTGAAGCAGGATTATTCCTTAGATGAATTACTGTGTATAAATCCTTCAGAGAGAATAGATAAGAATAATAAGAGAATAGGTAAGAGCAGTTGAGGAATATGTAGTGCCAGGCATGTATGTAACTGAAAGCTGCTACTGTTATTTGGAGTGTTTGCAATGGGCCTTCTAGATACAGCTACAAGCAAAAACAAAAATCAAACCTATATTAGTTTATTAGAATGGTCTATATAACAAGTAAATGCTGATTCCTAATTTAATCTTAAACCTTTGTGGAAGGTGGGTCCCATAATCTCTGAGTGAGCAAAGAAACAAGAAATTTGTCACATATGTTAAAGGCTCAAAAATTAATCTCTCACATGTAGGCTCTTCTTTTAAGTTCTCAAATCTGTACAGAAATTTATATAACACCAGGAAATGAATTTGTAGAATAGCTCAGCATTTCTTCCATACCCTCCAGTAGTCCTGATTCCCCTTATACATTAAGATCATGGTCCCCAAGGTGCTACCTGATTATGACATTACCTTTGTTTTCTAATTCCTTAAGTCCTTGGCTGTTTCTTGGTCAGACATCAATTCATCTAAACTCTTTCACTTTCCATCTCTGTCCTTACCTTGGTCTCTGCTAGATTTGTTGGTGTCTTTAGCTCTGGTGGGTAAGGAGTTGTGTTACCAACCTAAAGGCAAGAGGTTCGAATCCTCCAGCTGATCCATAGAAGAAAGTTGGACAGTTTCCTCCCATGTGTTTTATAGTATCTGAAAAACTGCTGGTGAGTCAGCCAGGAATCCAATAGCAGTGAGCATAGGGAGTATTAGCTTGAATAGGAGAATGAGAATCTTTTCCCTGTTCTTTACTGACTTGTCTGTCTCTCCCATTTCTCAGCTCAGTTTCCACCTTTGTGATTATATGCTCCTTTTTGGTTAAATTTGTCATTTTAAAAATGAGCCATACTTTTGGGTTTGTCCCCCTCACCCCCCATCTTGTTGTGTATGGTCGAATTCATTCCAACTAGCACAGGAGGAGATTGCCCCTTCTTCTTCAGAAGTGCATCTGGTGGATTCGAACCACATGTCTTTGGGATTGCAGTGCAGCTTCTTGCTAGTAGGCCACCAGAGCTCTCTTATGAGTCATACTTTAAAAAAAGTTTGTATAATAAAATTTCATGTTCTCCATTCCTTTTTATAAAATGGATGTATAGATTATTTAAGTTTTCTTTAAAACAAATGCAACTCTTATATTCTATTTTAACAAGTAAAAAGTTTAGTTGTAAAACTTTTCTTATGTTATAAAATTTTAAAAATATAACATAAAATACACTGTAAAAAAGGGGGAAAATGGTCATTTTTTCACTTTTTTAACATAATCTGTGTAAGCACTTTGATATGTTTGCTTTTTAGTCCTTATAGCAAAGACTACAAAGTTTTTACTGTTTTAATATATAAAGTAGCTTTCAGACTATGTTAAGACTGAACTGAAGAATACTTAGAATTAGTCTATAAGCAAGTTTTAAGTTTTTGTAGTATCATTAATGTGCTAATGGGCCCTATTTCCTATAGTTTTTGTATTTTCTCCTTTTGCACTCATGGCAATGTTCATATTTGCAGACCATGTCAATACAGATTAGTTCGGGGGAGATTTGAAGACTGTTGTATTCCATGCATCTTAGATAAACAAGAAGAGAGAGTGAATGTATCTGTTGTTGTTATTTGCTGGACCAAAATGGTTCCATATTTCCTACAAGCTCTTCACTTGATAGTTTCAGGACTTCAGATTGTCCTGTACCTTTTTATATCACACCTACTTTGCCTTGCTGGTAGCCATTAGGGTAGGTTGCTTCTACGTATGGCTCTTGTGATCTGATCTTTCTGCTTTTGCCTAGACATATTTTGAGATTTAGATAAGTATATTTTCCTAGTAGTCTCCAAAAAATTTTTAAAATAGCTTAACACAGAAAATAAAGAATATACTTAATAGATTTCCTGAGTGAGCTTTTTTAGAGCATTAGCACATTTCATTTTTAATTTTATTAATCACAGTCAAATTGAGTGTCTAATCTCCAAAATTTGATTAGGATGTACTTTTTTTTTTTTAGGATGTACTTTTTATATTTTTCTCATCTTAGTGTGTAATTAAAAGTCATATGCTGGTTTGATATTTGAAGCTTTACAGTTGATGGCTCTAGGCTACTGGGGCTCAGAGAATCAAAGATATGCTCAGGACATTTAAGCTGAAAACATACAGATAACATTTATAACTCCCTCTTTTCTACCCTTCAAGCATATGTCACCTCTTTCTTTACCCACTTAGTCTTTCCAAATCAACTTTATGCTTTATTTATACTAGATGGGAAAGGTAATGGAAGTTGCACAGAATTGAGTTAAAATTCTGGTTTTGTCAGGGTGGCAAGATCTTGAGGAAATCACTTTGTTGAGCTTCTATTTCTACATCTTTTAAATGTGTATTATTTCCTTTTTTATGTTTAGTTAGTATATACTTTTATTTTCAGAAAGAATTTAAAGTGGTTAAATGGGGCTTTAGTAAGACTCTCTACTTTCAGGGTTGCTGTGAGGATCATACTGGTGTATGAATTAGGCTAAACTGTTAAGATTCAGTCTTTTTAAAAAGTATATGGAAAATCCAGAAAAGTGAAAATAGAAAAACCCGTTTTATTTCACAACCAAAGACAACTAATAATAACACTTTCTCACCCTCACTCCCATATTTTTCTTGTGGGGAGCAGGGGAATTTAAAAGTGGCTCTAAATGGTGTCATGGCTCTTGGCTGCTAACTACAAAAGGTCAGCGGTTCAAACCCATCAAGTGCTCCATGGGTTTTAGGAAAATTTAAAAGACAATTTTGATAACTCTTGATTCCTTGAAATAGCTAGTTAATCTCTGGACTTCTACTAAGAATATATTAGAAATTACTCAAGGCTCTTATCGCTTAAAATTACTGACTTCAGCACAATTCCTGCTGGTCTGTAGCTGGGACTGTTCTTGCATAATCTTTAGAATTTTCCAATTTTGTGAAGAAGCAAAAACATGTTTTTTGAGAAAATAATGTGATGGATTTGGCATAAAGAAGATGCTTTGGAAGAACTTAGAAGTGATAGCAGAGCTCCAAGGTGCCTGTGACTAAAGGGAAATAAAGAGAGGTGGCACTTTGCAGGGCCTGCAGTGTCAGAGGGAGGAGCCCCAACTGGCAAAATGTTGAAAATGGTGTCCTTGCCTTGGTGAAGAGCTGTGTTTTGTCTTTATTTTTTTCCCTCCACATACCTGATTATTTATAATGGTAAAGAATGTGTTAGGAGACATTTATTGTTGTTGGTTTTAATATGAATCTCTGAGATTCTGTGTCTGGGAACCTTTACGTAAGTGGCAGTTTCAGTCTACTGAAGCGGATATTTTTCATTTGGGGAACTGCATAGTAAGATTTGATAGTTCAGTGTAACCCACTACTTTGTTAGGAAACTTATAATGAAAAAGACTTTCTTTTAAATAGGTTAAAGGAAGATGGAAGTGGAAGTGCTTATGACAAAGAATCTATGGCAATTATCAAGTTGAATAATACAACTGTCCTTTATTTAAAAGAAGTGACTAAATTTTTGGCACTGGTCTGCATTCTTAGGGAAGAAAGCTTTGAACGAAAAGGTAATGGGGTTAAAAAAAGTTGTTATATAAAGTTCTTTGCCATAATTTTTCATGTCCTTGAATGCAGCATCAGAAAAAGAAGATAAATGCGTGTTTATTTTAAAAAATGAACAGCCAAAAAAACCCAGTTCAAACTGCTTTTGGCCTATTCCTTCTATGTATAATCCAGACATTCCCCTTTTTATTTTTTTCCCCTGTTAATATCAGCTTTTTAGTTTCTCTTACTTCTGAGGAATTCTTGGGTGGTGCAGAAAGTTAAGTACTTTACTATTAACCAAAAGGTTGATGATTTTGAACCCACCCCAAAGTGCCATGGAAGACAGGTGTGGCAGTCTTAATTCCAAATGGTCACAGCTTTTATAAGCAGCATGGAGCAGTGAGTTCTGTGCATACAAATGGCCATGAGTTGAAATTGATTTGATTGCAACTGACTTTTCTTCAGATCCTTTTATAACCTGTTTTACACCTGCAGTTTTGGTTCTGTCTGAACCTACTTCAACTACAGCAACAATTAATGACCAACATTCGAAAATCCCATCCATTAGTCTGCTGAAACTTCTCTTTGAGCTGTTACCAGGTTTCCTTCTTGTTGTATTCATGGCCTTTGCTCATTTTGTAACCCTAGTCTTCTGAGGCAGGTGATTCTGTCCTGTCTTCCTTTTTTTTTTTTTTTAAAAAAAAATATAAATAATGCTTTATTAAGCCACCTCCGCTACAACGGCTTGCATGCCAATTATGCATGCAGGCTACCACCTGCCCCTGGCTGCCAGCCTTTCCTCCTTTCTTGAAGCATTCTTTACCCTTTTTTTCTCAGTCATGACTCCTCTTCAGAGCCAAATCTTTCTGCTCCTTTCTTTACTAATTGTCTTACTCAGCTCATCTGTTTATGGTTTTAGTCAACCTTTTCTGCATAACTGATTAAAAAGCACATAGATCTAACTTGAGCCCCTGCTTCAGTTTCATGTTTGGAGCTAATTGACATTGTCAATTAGATGTTGTTATTTTGTGTGTCATAAATAGATAGTTATTTTACCTTCCATTTCATGACCTTGGCTACACTACTTTTGTCTCCGGCGATGCCATTTTCTGTGCGTCTAAGCTCAAGATGTCTTGTACTCAGCTAATCCTGCTTTTGAGTTGGTTTCACAGAAGTGAGTCGGGTTCTCTTTTTCCAGGCTTCTCCTGTGTTGCTTACTTTGAATTTTCACTAAATCTTAATATATGTTCCTTTAACTATTTCTTGGATTTCTTTTCCATTTCCACTGTTGGTGATCCAACCCAGATCCTCACCTCTTTAGGCTTGTGGTCTCCCTACTCAGACATTTCGCATGTTTGTACTGAGTGCTTCATTTGTGTTGTCTTTTATTCCAGAAATGAGTGTATTATTCACCTTTGAACTTAAGAAAACATTACACTTGAGTTGAAGTTCTCTTTGTATTCTTATAGGTTGATATCCCTTCTTTCATGCTTTGCTAAATTTAGTGTTTTGTTTTTCCCACACAGTGGTTTAATATCTTCATATTTACCTCTAAGTAGTACGGAGTATTGCATATCTTTACATAAATGGTGTAAAAATTTAAGTAGTTTTCTGGAAGTACTTGTTTCCTCTGTTTCAAGAATATTCTTGAGATTTATCCATTTTGATAGCATGTAGCTCATTCATTCATTCATTTTCATTGCCCTACAGCGTTCTATTGATTGAATTTACCATAGCTTTTTTTTCAAATTTTGAATATTATTAAAAGCTAGGCATTACGTTTTCCTAAAATAAACAGAAATAAGAAAAACATAAAGATATCTATTCACTGCTGGAAATCTGTATTCCACGTAATTTCTGACCTAACTCATAGGAAATTGTCTTTCTTACCCCCAAGGCCATGCTCATCAACTCTTTTTTTTTTTTAATAATATATTTTAGTTATTT